TGATTTTCCACTGTTCTGCTAATGACACTCGCAGGACACGTTCCAGGAGACGATGGCGACGGCAACAGCTTTTCATAAACCGCAAGTGTCCGATCCTAACGAGCTAAACGGTGGGCGAGTGTCCTTGCCGTCAGGTGGCTGTTATCGTTGTCTCTCGCCACGGTTCCTTCCCCCTTTCGCTGCCGCGTCGCCGCGTTTTCCGGCTTCGATTGCCGGAGGCGTCGAAAATTCGGAAGCGAAATTGAATAAAATTGCCCGGGCAACAACAATAGCGGCATGAAATAATAATAAGCAGGGACGACGCTGGTCCTCTGATAAATCTTGCCCTCTCTTCCCCCTCCCGCTTGGCCACGTGTCCCGGATCCCGCATCCCGCATCGCGCATTCCGGATCCCGGATCCCGTCACGTAACGCAATTTCTTTTATTTTATTTTTATTTTAAGTGGCAGGGAGGTCTTATTTAAATGCCTCGCTGGCCGCGCCCTCGACCTTTGACACGGCACATTAGCGGAATTCGGGTTTCTCCGGGGCCGTCGGAATAATAAGGGTATATGTATGTACCGTTATATAGACATACGGCGAGGCAATCACCGAGCACGTAAATCAAAGCCCCTGACGAAGATAAACGATGGTCGGAGCCGGCGAGCACGCGTACCTGCTTATGTGTCACCTGGCAACACTCCGCCTCACCCCCCCCCTAATTGACAGAGCCGTGAAATGTTGATTTTCGATTTTTATAATTATTGTTCAGCGGCATAACACTGGGGGGAATAATTCTCCATTATAGCGAGAATATTCTAGAGAAGGGTTTGTATTTTCTTGGGCAAGATCCAAGTCCTGTGACATGTCTTGGTTTTATTTACAATAACTGCCTTATATTATACTATATTTGATATTTAATTTACCCAAATTGTAAAGCACTTATTACCCCCTTTTCTGCCCGTGTAAACCGTGAGTTGGCTGAGGAACTCTCGATGGGATGATAGGGTAAGCACACTTGAGATCATTAGCTGGTTTTTCTTTGTGCCTCCCCGAAAAAAATTGGCATCTCTCCCCACATTGCCCTGCCTTCTAAGTCCTTGCTGGAAAATTGACAGCTGACACACAGGGAAAGCGGCAGACAATTGTTGCTGTTTGCCAGCGTTTTTCCGGCTGCCATGACAGTCGTCGTTCGGTCGGTCGGCTTTTTGACTTTCACATTTTTTTTTTTCATTTTTTTCGCTTGTCTTCGAATGGATTTGATATCAGCGCGTCCTGTGAAGCGTATAGCGAAAAATATTAAACATTTCTTTGATTGATTTGCTTTCAGCCAGCATGGTGCCATGCCCACATCCGTCTTGGCACCTCAGCCCCCGTGAACGAGGATGATACATGCCTTTCAGAAGCAGCAGAAAATAACGAAGTACAGGCCTGAACTTATGACACATAAAAGCAAAATAGGACAATTCCTTGAGTGAGTTTTTCTGATGGAAGAGATACAACATTCCCCTAATCTTTCGTTAAAATTTACTTTAATTTCTCAGAGCTCGAGGGCTTGGAAATCGGTCTGTTCAAGGCGTTTTCCTTCGGCTCGAAACTTTCAAGGAGAAAGTGATTTTTTAATGCGTCGCTGAATATTAAAACTAATTTAATGAATGCACTACGACGACGTTGCGAATAAGACCAAGAAAAAAAATACAGATATATAAATATAAAGGAAGAAAGATGAGGAGTGGGAAGAGCACAAACAGATTTTGGGGGGTAATTCGGTTGACATTCTTTAACTTTTTTCGGAACCGAAAGCCGAAACTTTTTGCTTCTTATTTCTCCTCTTGCCGAGTTGCTTTTAGTCCTGTAAAAGGGACGTCTGCCTCCACTTCCCCGACTTCCCCTTGGCCTTTGCATTTGCCGTTAAGCAAGCAAACAAACAGACAGTCAAAGGCGGAAAGTGTGTGGGCGTGGCACTTGCCCACACACACACACAAACAGACACAATTTTAAAATGTTTTTCTGTGCGTGAAGAACAGCTTTGACTTTCGCCGAAAAGCGAAAAGAGAAGGAAAATGGCGAAAAGGCTTTTGCAAACGGCCACAGGGGGGTAGAGGGGGGTGCACCGCCAAAAAGTTCAATAATTTAGTGGTATATTCTATTATTTTTTCTATTTTTAAAGCTGGTTTCTAATGGAAAGAACAAAAGGTGGATAAAATACTGTAAAAAAAAATTATTGAAATATATTATATTTAAAATAATATTCCTAGAATCTTTTCAGTGTATTTAACAATTGTTCCAAAAATTCTGAAATATCTTCTGCAGATACCGGTTCACACACACACACACCTGATGGTCAGGAAAACCCTCCAAAGGGTGGCAGGTGATCGACCCACTGCGGTTGCCTTTCCCAAAACAATAGGCCAAGGATTGGATGAGTAAACAAAAAAAAAGGGAGGGAAGAAAGGAAAAGGACGGGGAGGTGGACGAAGGACCGGCAGATGATAAAGTCGAGCCCGGACCCGGTCAATTGCATTTCCAATTGCGGCGCGGCCAAAGGATCGATTCGGGACGAGGTCCTGGGGGCTGCCAGTGACAATTTACTTGTAAAATCGACCGCAACAATTTCAATTGCAGCCGACCAGAGGTCACTTCTTATTTGCCCCATCTCGGCTCTCAATAATAAACTAAACTGCAAGAAATAAAAAGGAGAAGTCTACATCCTACTTGTTCGTATCACTTAACCAAATAAAATTAAGTGATTAAGTATTCTTAAGCTCTCTGTTTCAGGGATTCATTTTTAGTTAAAACTTAAAGTTGGATAGATTGATATTTTTTCTTTAAGGTTCTTTGCTCTCACTGTACTCTGCATACTGTGGCCTCCACAGTTATCCTGCTGGCTCGTTGTCCCTGCTCGTTGTGGCTGCGGTCGTTACTCAGGGCATTGACAATTCAATTGGCGCAATACCCTGTCTCCCCCACTCACACACACACACACACACACACAATTACACTCTAATGAACTACACATATGCAAGGGGAACCCACACTCTCTTCCTGGATCCATTTTCAATTGGCGGCAACCTGCATCCATTCGCATCCTGCGGTGTCGCAGAAGCCTTGACTTGCGGTCGTCCCTTGCAAATGACTTCCTTTAGTGCCCCAAAAAGGCAAAGGCCAACAGCTAGTTGCCACTAAACTAAAGTTGAGTAAGAAAGGGGCTTTTAATAATAAACATAAATTGAGTTTACCAGTGGAAAAAGAGGAATTTTAATGGAAGCGAAAGCTTGGAAATACAGTAAATGGTTTAAAAATAACTAATTTTCGAAAGATAACAATTTTAAAGGTATACACCTGCAACAGTTTAGATTAGTTAAGCTCTTAAAGGCTGTGAAATAGTATATTTTTCAATTGAAATTATACTCTCATATCATATTTAACAGCTCGTAAGTAGTTCCATCAATTATTCCCATTAAAATGCAATACAAACCCGGAAGTGGTAGCCTTAAAAAATCGCTTGAAAATTGCTAAATCGCATGGAAAATGAAGCGACATGTGCAGGCTGCACCCCAGTTCTCCCCCTACAGCTCCTTGGGTCTGCGGCTGCTGTGTGCTGATATAATTCATGAACTAACATCTTGTGAGTAATAAGGCGTCTGGGAGGAAATGAACTGGCCCAGAAGCAGGAGCTGGAGCATGGGAAGGGGAACGGAAGTAATAAATGGCAAGCCGGTTGGCCTGTGATTAATTACACAGCATTTAGCCAGCTCATCAGCTTCGATGACCAAGACACTTCGCACTCAGTACACCGAAAATAGACCGCAGGGCCAATGCATATATCAAGTTGGGAATTCGACCCGCCGCCACACAAATATATCAATATAAGGGGGCCAGAAGCCCATAAGTCTAGGCACAAATCTGGAAATGTGCACGTCAGGCAAGTAATTTGCAAATTAATTGGAGTTAATACAACACGAAGGGGTTTCATATTTCCCTGACTAATCACACATACCTGGCAAACGGAATTAGTTATTAGAAAAACTCGTAAAAAACAAGGTAAGGTGAAGACGTACAAAGCAAGTAGAACCCAAGGAAGCCTCTCTAATCCTTGGGGAGGGGAAACAAAAGTTTCCCTTGCTGCAGGAAGCCCGGCAAGACGTAATCCGATAGTTTTGCGAGAGCACAAACAGAGCCGGAAATGGCTGACCGAAATAATTGCCAACGAGGCGGCACTGTACTTAATTGGCCTGTTTGCGACGATCCTTGAGACGCGCCTCTATAAACTGCTCGAGAATTTCCAGGACATCAGCCAGCCTCGAGCCATTCAGTTATGCACGTTGTCAAGCCCAAAATTAAAACGGACCAGGAGCAGGAGCCGAAGCAGGAGCAGGACCAGGACAACTCGCCATGGCAGGACTCTTGCCACTCACCTAATAAGCCAGCAAAGCGTACAAAATTTTCGAAAGTTTTATGGCCGCGCGAGAGAGCGACACTCAAACTCAAGGAAACTTGGCAGCAGCGGAATGGGGGGCGGCGGCATCACTCATACGCAGTGTAAGCCGTACGGTTTCCCCTCCAACGCTTTGTTTTCGCATTGTTTGCCGATTTCGTTGCGAGCTGAAAGTTTAGAGTTCATAGTTTAATTTGCTAATTGTTTAACAGCTGCAACAGCAACGGCAGTGGGGCAGCTGCAACTGCAACTGCAACTGCATTGCATCGCAGCTGCATTTTCATAATGAAAAGCGCGGAGGGGTGGGGTCGAGAGTGGGTGGATGGGGGCCACAACTTTTAGCTGAGCCCGCGGGGGCGGTGCTAAAATCCAAGCCGAAAACGACAGGCGACAGCTGGCTGCTGGCTGCTACTTACTGCGGCAGCTGCAGCAACAGCGGCAATCGCCGTCCTGTCGAGCGTAACGCCTTTTGACAAGTTTTCGCTGCAAAACTTTTACTTTTCCATTCCCGCTTCCCTTTCGGTCAAGTACTTTTGAAATTATAAGTAGCACAGGCGCCGCGAATTTTTCCCCGGCAAACTCACCGTGCGATTGCCCAAATTCTTGACGCGGCAGGTCAGGCGCACCGTCTTCCCGACGAGGCCAGTGATGTTGGTACCGATGGTCGTGTCGAAGGTGGGTCCTCCGGTTCCGGGCGTCGGCAAGTCCTGCAGGAAGTCCGTGAAAAAGCGCTTCGAGGCGCCCTCGCTGCTTCCTGTGAACAAGGGAAATTTTCAAAAAGTGTTGAATAAGTACAGGAGTGATGTAGAGTGAGTGCAGATTAAATGGTTGAGATAATGGCCAGGGACGTGTGACGGGCAGAATATCGTTTAGTCATAAATAAGGATGCTCTAAGGACTGTAAACAAATCTTTTGAATAAAATGTAAAATAAATTTAAGTATACATACGTTGCGGTAATTAATATTTATTAAATTCAAGATTCTGCTTTTTCAAAAGTGTTTAAACGAGAGTTTGCCAGTTTCTTTGCTGGAACAAAAACTATCTTAATTACGCATTACTCATCTTACTCTTTATATTGTCTTGGCTGAAACTCTGCTTTACAAATTACCAAAAAAAAAAGGAATTTCTCAGAACCTGTTGGCTTAGAAATCAACTAGCCCTGAGGTCCTGACAGGCCTGACATGCTAATGTCCAAAACTACAAAGACTCCTCCTTCGGCCCTCCGATCTTATCCTATATGACAGGTGGGCGTTGCCATTAAGTAGGCGGTGAAAGCGACATTTTCTCGGACTGCACTTTCTTTGTTTGCCCTTCTTGACTTGCTCTGTGGCTGTCGTATCTCAAGAAATAATTTTTAAACCAGTAGAATCGAGCCCTTTTGAGCTCTCCCCGGACTCGTGGCCTTATGGGATGGAGGAAGTCATTGAAAAATGCGCTTAACAAGTGTTGTAAGTGCCCCGCACACACACACACACCCAGACACACATGTGGGTGCTGGGGTGTGTGTATTGCCTAGCCCGGGCCATTTGTTGACAGCGTCATGTGGCGTTAATTGCCACTTTACAACGAGTGGCAATTTGGAGCCGATCGAAAGCCGGCTTCCTCTACACACTCACACCGAGGCAGAGCGGAAAATAACACACATACTATATTTATATGACGGTGTGATGGGAGAAACATGCACAAAGAAAAACTACAAACAACTCTTTGTTTATTTTATAAATAATATAAAAAGATTGATGTAATCTTGAAGACATTCCTGTTGATATTTTATAGAAATAACCATTATCCCCCCACATTCTAGCTAGTAGAATTTCCTTAGATAAGGTTCCCAGGGTTAAGCCCTGGTTTCTCTCTGTGCATCCTCTGTAAATACCCACACAGCCTGGGCTGGCTTACAGCTGCTGCGTCTACGCCCGCCTCCCAGCCGATGAAAGTGCAACAAAGAAGGCGAAAAAGTAAGGCACAGTCGAGAGCAAACAACAGCGAAAGGCGAAAATTAATGAAAATTGCCCCGAAAGGCAATTAATTAAATGATAAACGCCCATATTATATGCCCAGGAGCGTGTTTGCTGTTCTGTAAGCAGTTTATATAACATGTTGTACTCGGCGGAGCGAATATTTCGTAGATGCGATGGTGCGATGACGCCGATAACTGCCAGCCTCCTTTTCGGAACAACAAATTAAAGAGCGAGTGCGGAGTGTGCCTCTGGCCAGATAAGTTTCTGCCTCTGGAGGAAAGGCCCACTCACACACAGAGGCCACTTTCTGCAGGAGCAGTGAACTGGCCATAGTAATACCCTGCCACCTGCCACCTTCAACCTGCAACCTGCAATTCGCGGCATGAGTGTGCGCTGACTGTCTGCAGATTAGCCTAGGAATACCGGGGCATATTTCAAACATTTCGCTAAAAAACCAGAGAGGGGGCAACGGGACTCGTACAGAGCAAGAATTTCTAGCTAATTGCAAACACTTCAAAGGGAAACCCCCTCTGATATAAGCCACTAAGCAAACACATCCAGTTAGGATCCCGGGCCACACTCAATTTGAAAGTATAAACTCCATCCACATGCTTTTTGGGAATGCCAAACAGGTCACATTTAATTACTTTTCCCGGTGTAGCCATAACTTTTGCCGTTGTCGCGCGCAAACGTGACAAAGCAAACACACAGGTGAAACGAGGCAGGCGGAAACGGAAACGAAACGAAACGTAACGGAACGAAGCGGAGAGAATAAAAATGGCCGCTCCGAAATGGCAGCGACATTTGCAAAGTGTTAAGTGCCATTTTTGGCATCCCCTGATCTCTTAGCCAGCGGCACCTTCCTAGGTGTCGTGGTTGCAGGGGCGCTTTTGCGTTTTTGCACGACGATTACACCGACGATTATGCTGATGAGCAAGTGGATGAGGTTTTGGGTGGGTGGTTTGTGCTGGGTGTTGTGTGTGAGTGTGGGATGTTCTGTGCCCCAAGGCCTTCGGTGGCTGCAAGCCAATTAAAGGTGAACCGACAGTCCTGTGCTGTGTCACACTGGTCTCCCTCTCACTCTCACTCTCCTCCTGATCCTGGCTGCCCTTGGCTGTCGTCGGCTGATTTATGGCCGCCATTCACATGCACGTCTCAAACCCACACTCCTCACGCTCTCATATCTGTGCATAGCAGTGATGGTGTCCTCTGGGTAGCCGTACCTAAGGATAGGCCCAGGAAGTACCTAGCAGGAAGTTGTCACCTGATTAGCTGAAGGCAGAGGTACCTAAAACCCAGTTTGATCTTGAGAAAGTAACTTTAGCTAGCACACAAGGTGCATGACCCAAAAAAAAAGTGTTTCTAGAGTATATTTTTTGTTACTGAAACGAAACTATGTATTGTTTTGCAAAGTACCCTCAACTGTGCTCAGTGGCATCGCTGCCTCGCTGCCTGGCACGTCCTCGTTTTGGTTTTACAACTCTGCCAGAACGAATTATGTTATGCAAACACAAACACTCACTACTCACTCGTCCTCCCACCCACACATGGCCCTGTTATCCTGGCTGTCGCTGCTGCTGCTATTTGCTCAGCGTTTTATGCACTCGCTGTGGCGTCTCAGGCTCAGGCCCCGCGTAATTGAAGTTCATAATTATTTTATTAAACACATATACATATATATATATTTTTTTTGGGGCCCTCATCACATGTCCTTTGTCTTCTGGCCTTTTATGCTTTTTTTACGCAGCAAGGACTGGTCCCCGCTGTGCGTGATAATGTTTTGAGCATGCCATTCTAGGAGCTGCCGAGGCATCGTTAAGTTGTCAATTGCCAGGATAACGAAAGCGATGACAGGACTTAGGGAGCGGAGGCCTCTGGCGACAGTTGCTTAGGCATCGGAATTTTCACTTCTTAAAGCCAGCGGAAAACGTTTTCGTTTACCCATAAAGTACATATTTTAATCCATAGCGGGAGAATATTAAATCATAGGGGAAATCGGCAAAGATCAGCAATTATTCGGACGCCAAACTTCACTCGGAAATCGTAAATAAAACCCTCTACCGGGTGCTAAAAAAAAGTGCTGTGTAATATGAAAAAGTGGAAAACTCGACGATTACTTATATCAGATTTATGCGCCGAAATAATATTTTAAACTTTATTCGCGGGCCTGCCAGGTTGCAGCCAAAAAAAAAGGATATTCCGAATAATAAAATAAATGGGATAATACACTTTTGAAATTTTGCATTGTCCGCTGCCGAAGGCTATAAAAATATGCAATTGAGGCATCAGCCATAGCCTTAATGCTGAAAAACACATTGTAGGCCCCACACAACCCCTTCGTCCTGTGCCTTCTCGCACATTTTTTGTTGTTGCCTTTTCAGGGATTTTATTTATCCGTACCTGTTGCTCTGCCCGCTCCCGCCCTGTCTCCCCCCCCCAGAAAAAAGGGGATATATATGGCCCGAAAAGGCTGACCCGGCTCTGGGGTCCAGTGAATGGCGATCTGTCCGCCAGGCCTGGCTGTTGCTTTTAACATTTATCATACGCAGTGTGGGCCCGGCTAAGTGCGCACTTAAGCGCCGCGCCGAGAGTGGGCGTGCATTCTGGTCCGAGTAAGAGCAAGAGTAAGAGTAAGAGCTGTAGCTGTAGCTGGAGCCAATTTGAACGGTTTTGGGGCAAAAATAAAATTATTTATTTGCATATAGAGGTATGGGAGAGGGAGGTACATACGTGCGACTGCAGTGGCCGGCGGGATTATTGGAAATTTCGCTAGGCATTTGGCCGAAAGTTAGCGGCTAAGCCAAGTCAACGCATCAAGTGCATCGTTCGTGACTGTGGCAGCGCCGGCGGGCATTTCCGGCCACTTCGAGTGGCACATGGCACATGGCACATGACGTGCACACCAGTGTACAGAGTGTGTAGTGGCACGAAAGCAAAGCAGAGAATGAGAGAGAGAGAGAGGAGAGGAGAGGGAGGGGGCACTCGAGGCGGGCGCAATCAATCCGTCATGCGTCATAAGTCCCAGTTCCGTCACCCCCTACGCCAAGAAGTATGCAAATAAAATTGTCAACGGGACTAAACGACGGCTCCTTGGGCTCTCCTTCCAGGACCCCCAAATTCGGGGGCTCTTCCTTATCGCCGGCAGACTCTTGACGTTGATGTCGCGCTGCCTTGAAAGTCTCCCATCGAGATAGATCCAAGCTATTTCCTCTCTTTCATCTCCAGGATGTGTGTCCTCTTCCCCACACACAGAAGAAAATCCTGGTGAGTTTGAGGTTTAAAATACTGTTGTAGGATATTGTAATACCAAAGATACAACGAGTTGATTATCTTAAGTGACCTTAAGACAAAAAACTATTAATTCTTCTTGTAAATAACTATTTTCCTGAGTGTATCCTAAGCCCACATGAGTCAGGCCCTCGCCACAAGCTGGAAATGGAAAAAACCAAGGGGACGGGGGCAGCTAATAGGCATTTATGTAAAAGTTAATCGCATGATATCCTGATAAAATCCACAAAAAGGAGATATATATATCCAGGACTTGTAGGTAAACTTTTCAATGCTGAGCTTCTACAAAAAGAGAAGGTGGACCTCAGCCACAGATTAGCATTCGAATGGAAAGCGGAAAGAGTCGCTTTGGCTTGCCAATTGAAAGTTTGCCTTTGATTGAAGGAGTGCCAGGAAAAAAAAGAGAAGAACTAAGTAGAGGAAATCGCTCTGGAGCAGCCCGAAGAGAAAGGTTTAAAGTCACAGAATAAATACTAGTTTTAAATCTTAAGAAATTTAGGTAAG